GTTTTCCGGTCGAAATGCATTATTTAAATAGACGCCCACAAAAGGTCAACAAGTTCTTTGAAATTTAAATCTTGTATTTGCTCTTCGAGGAACTGGGAAACTTTAAATTTCTCATGTTTGTCGTAACTTTGTCGAAACTGTATCTGAAGAATATCATTCAGGCCATAATAATGTTTAAATGTTCCACTGGAAGTATCTTAAGAACAAGATAATTCATAATGGAAGACAAAAAATAGATTAAAAATGACTATCGAAGTGGCTTCAGCGTTCCCAGATCGATGCTTGTGTTTGGCTGTTCGGCTGCACTTGGCTGTTTTTTGCCAGTTTTCTAATTAAATTCTTAATTGAAATTAACGCATATTTTTCAAAGACGCCGAAAGTGCTAAGCGCAAGCGGTTACCAAAAATGTTCTGCTGCCGGCTGGCTGTTTGCCACAAGTCGCAAGTTGCCACATGAAATTGAAGTTTTCAGGCCAAAAAACTTTGGAGACTTTGTCAGCTGCTGCTGCTGTTCTTGTTGTTGTTTTTTGTCTTCTGGCCAATGTGGCAGTGGCAGTGGCAGTGGTAGTGTCAAGTGACGGCAGCTGTTGCAACAATAGCCCAGCCTCAATTCTAGCCACATTCTCAGTCACTGGAACGCAGTCAAAAGAGACCGTGTGGCGGGCTCTCTAATTTACCAAGTCAGCCTGGCCAGTTTTTATGCGTGTTTGGCCCGGCCAAATCATAGGAGGCAACAAGCTAATTCTAGTGGCCACACGACCTATACAGAATATGGCTTAAAACACAAAGTTGGCCTACTGTGCTAACGACGACGGCTTTGTTGAATGCCCCTAAGCAATCAATGATCTACACTGTTCAAAAATGTGAGCTTCAATTTCTGGGGACATTTTTCTTAATTCGCAAATTGCTTAAATTCTGAATATTAAATTAAGTTAATTAAATAAATTATAAATTCATACAAATTTTAATATTATTTGCCTTGAAGGAATTTATTTTCTTAAAAGAAGATTTAAAAAAAAATACTTTTGTCGTAAAATTAAATATTTTGTGCAACCAAATTTATGTTAAATTATACATTTTGGCCTTTATTCGATTTGATATTTGTGTTATAACCAAAATTATATATTTTAAATACAATTTTGATTACTGTGTATGACAGAAAATGTGCCACGCCTCACATTGAATAAATTATGGCGTGCAATGCTGCGTATGTGTGATATGTGTAATTTAGAATCGTTGTCGTTGTCGCCGTTTGGGTCACTCTGGCAATTATGGCCAAATGCGCTAATGATATTCAATTTCATCGAGCTGCCTATTCAGCATTTTGTCAAAATGTCAAACAGGCGGCCAACAAAAGGGCTAAAACCAGACAACACCAGACGTCAAGCCGTCAAAACGAGAGGTGGAGAGACAGGGAGACAGAGAGACAGAGAGATAGGGAGAAAAAAAAAGAGATAGAGAGAGCGACAATATTCTGGTGTCCTGTGTGAACCGCTGCAGCTGAACTCGCCGTAGAAATGTGAAAAATATTATGAAAAAATAAATAAAATGATAATGTAAAGCATAATGGAAATCAAAGGAGGGTAGCGCGGAAATCACTCAATTGGACGTCTAACTGACAGCTACACATTATCAAATATTTATGGGCAGCGAGCGTGCAATCGCTGCTGACCGCCGGTGGGACAGGGGCTGCCGGCAGAGGGGGGCGTGGCTGCGTGGCTGCGTGGCTCATTGAAAACACTTGGCCCCGTCGGCTAAAAGGAAAAGCGAGCGATACTTTGACACCAACGCCCCAAAATGACATTTGTGTGTGGTGGTGTGTAGAAATGTACACAAAAATAAGAAATGGGAAACACTCGAAAATTTTTATATAACAAAACATCTGCTTGTAACGACACCGAAAAAAAGAAAAACCAAAAAAAAAAAAATATGTACACGGTGAGGCTCACCCTCGCCTGGCACACATGACTAGCTATAAACGCGACACACAAACCGTATTCTCATTTATAATTCAGCAAAGTAAAACATTGAAATAATGAAATTACACCTAAAGAATTTCTAAGGCAACATCAACGTTCCGCACACTGTGGCAAGTGTGACAATATTTGTGCTGCATATATTGAACTAGAAATGTACCCTTAAATAACTACTGAGTAACGCTTAGAAAATGGTTTATTTGTAGATTGTTCTATTTAGAATTTTGAGTCAAATTCATAAAATAAAACAGCTGGCAAAAAAGTTGATCAAACGATTAACAAAAAAAATAAAAATACAGTCGAATATTAAACTTCTGAGCTGTTTACCTTTAATGCAAGTTATATGGCTTAATTTTCCCCAATGTGCGAGCGTCTACACGTGGAAAGTGGGCTGGAGGCACAGGCGAACAGTTTATGCTTGAAAATATGAGAGGCGAATAAATAAAAATTTAATGAAAACACGTATACGCAGCATGCGCCATTGCCACGAGATCCCCTCGCACAATCATCAAATGCCTCCGCAATGAAATTGCCGAGGGCGGTCGCCGTGTTTTGCATGCATGAAAAGCATTTTGACAAAAATTTTGTGTTAGCCTCGCATTGAAAAACGCAAATAATTGAATTTCTGTCAGGGAAAATTAAATTATTCGTCCCCGCTGCTTCTCTAATCCCCGCTCCTATCCACACATCACCCCAGTAACTGCGTTGCCATCAGCAGTTTGGACCTGCCCCTCAATGCTGACTGGGCCGTAATGCATTTTAAATGTGCATAATTTAAATAAATGCAACAAATGATTTAAATTTATTAAACAAAAGCCACTGCATGTGTGTGTTTTTGTGTTTATGTTTGTGCGTGTGTTTGTGTGGTGGCTATAAGCGGAGACAATAAGCAGACAAATACAATAAAACGTAATGACAGTGCATAAAAGCTCATTACAGCCAAATATGCCGACAAAAAGTTAAATATGTATCAGCGAAAATACAAAAGGAAAGGCAAACCGATAAAAAAATAAAATAAATAAAAACAAAGTAGTTAAATGTTTAAGGCTTGACGATATAAGCAAACAATGTATTATGATCTTAAATAGAATTTGCTACGATTATGTAGGAGGCGCTGCAGAGTATAAATTAAATGTATTCGCGCCCATAGGGTATATATATATATATATACGACACTAGCGAGTCGAGATATCTATATATATCTATAGATATTTATCACATAACTGCAGAACGATTAGTCAAGAGCTGAGTTCTTGAATGAAACCATTTTTCGTTCAGCAAAATATCAATATTATAAAATTAAAGAAGCGCCTAAGAAGATATCGTTCTTTCTTTTTTCAAAATAATACAATTCAATATACATATGTATATGTTTAAGCTTTGGTTTTTTTGTTGTTTTCTATCGCGCTTATTTCGAACAATCTGAACAATACTAGGTACACACATTCGTATAAATTCATTTGTTCTATCAAATGGTGGCACTTAGAAGCCGTGTGTGATTTATGCACGCACCACTGAAATGTCATCAGTTGTGGTCAATCCAACCCCTACTCCCCCCCGACACACATGTAATCATTGCGATGGCTGGTTATATAAAAACTGACCACTAATTAACCCAATTTCTAACCAGGGCAATCAACCAAAAGTTAGACTCACTAATGCAGAAATATATTTAAGTGCGTGCCATTTGTATAGATATTAGAATGCATACATATACACCCAAATATATATATATATATATGTGTGTGTGTGTGTATAAAGATGGGGGCGAGCGATTAGACAACCATAAGCCTAAAACACACACACGAGAATCAAGCTAAAAATAGACAATGACAGCATTTATTGATACTATTATATTGTATTTTAGTTTTCGAAACATTTTGGCTCATTATTTATTAATATCAAATTATTTCAATATTAATGCAAACAACAAAAATTTCAATAATCCGTAATTATCATCGAATGTAGATCAAATAATCACATTTTAGCTGCAACAACAATAACAGCAACAACAACAACGACAACAGCGGCGGCAAGAAAATTAATTATGAAAATACGCAGAGAAATAATTTACCATGAAAATAACAAAGTGAGCTGGCCACACCCCCACTGTCCACCCTGTCCACCTCCCCGTGCAGCTGCTAAACGAATGTCCGAGTGTGTGTGTGTGTGTGTGTGAGTGTGTGTATTGGTGTATAATTAAGGTTAAATGGGAACGAAATGATTTTTTAGTACATTCCGTTCCGTTTCGTGTGCAATTAAAAAATTTCCCATTCACGTTGAAAAGTATGCTTTGAAAATGTGTATAAACTGAAAAGAGATTTCTTGTCGTGTCATAATACTCTGTTGCTTTTATAAATGGTTAACAAGGCTGAATTGAAATTCTGTTAATAAAGATCATATATATATTTATAAATATGTGTATATTCCTGATAAAGACGATAAGCCGAATCGATATGGTTAGGACTCTGTGATACCTTTGAATGAAGGATCTGAGAAACATGTCCAGCTTAGATAACTCAACTAAAGATAATACAATATTAACCAATATCGACTTGAAGAATAATGCACTTAGCCGATGCAATACTCTTTTAACTCATTTATGCAGATACTTGGAGATATGAAGTCGATGAGGCAAGTTCCTATAACTAGGTTCTGCAACTAGGGTAACTGCTAGTCGAGCACTCTTGATCACTCACTTGCTTACTTGTTTTCTAACTCTACATTGTTTTTTCCTGCTTGTTCTATTTACAGTTTTGTGTTTTGTACGGCACATGCCCACCACTGCTAGGGGGCCGGGGGCGTTTGTTATGCAATACGGAAGTGGAGCAGCGGAGAAAAGCATCTGTGGCCGGCCGCAGAGAATGCAAATAAATGCAACGAATACGAAGAAAACTCATATAAATTAGCAAAACGAACAATAACAACAGAACACATACACACACACACACACATACACACACACACAGTAATACACTAGCAAACACGCACAAGCACACACACAGGAAGACACACACACTCACACACACACTCACACACATATACGCAAAATAAAATCACATAAAATGCAACGAAATCAGTTGCATGAATTCAGCAACAACAACAACATCAAGAACAAGTGCAACAAAAACAAGCAGGGATACATAAAATATTCAAACTAACTAAAAGCAAGGCAATTTCATAAGAAAATTCTTGAAAATCCAAATCACAACTCAAGTGCTGCTGCTGCTGCTGTTGCTGGTGCTGGCGGGCACATGACGCTAATGGAGCATCGCTTGGCCCAACCACCGCCACCACTTACCGCTTCACCACTGCTACACGGCACAATGCTTGCCAAACTGTGGCCTTGGATGCGGCAGGAGGCGTGCCACTGGCTGCATAAATCAAAGTAAGTTGCATTTGCTTTAGCTCGCTTCTCTTGCAGCTAACCAAAAAATTTTAATTAATTTTAAAGTTTTTTTCTTCTTTTTATTTTTTTTTATCCTTATATCCTGTGTTGCCAGGGCATTCAGCATAATATTTCAACATTTTTTATTATTAAATTTAATCAAACCAAATGAATTTAACTAATTTTAAGTATAAAGTATTGTAATTTATTTGAAATAATCTATATTTAATGTTTATATATTATTAAAATCATATATTAATAAAACTGATTCTTAATCACTTACTTACTCTGTAACTACAATAAAGTGCCAGCGTATTTTCCAGTCGGTACCTAACAAAGTGCGACTTTTCCTGTTCCATTTTCTTTTTTTTAGCTATTTCAAGTTTAAATCCCACACAAATGCATTGTGTATGCGAATTAAAAGAAAATATTCAAAGTTTAGAAGAAAAGACGCAAAACACACATTTCTATACGAAACATATTCACAACCTGTGTGTAGAAATATATTCATACATTTATATATATAGAAAGCGAGCATAGAATAGAAAGTTAAATATGCCACCGCTGAGCTGAGTTATTTTTAAAGGTGCCACATACAGCTGGAGACCGCCCAGCCGCCTCATTCAACCAAATCTAAAGACGAGAGCTGCTTGACATTTTAGTCGGAAATTGTCAGCGGTAGCTATGGCATTGTAGCGATATATAAATAGCTCAACAGAAAGCCGTTTATACTATGCAGTATTTGTTGCCGCCGTCAGCTGATGATTGACGAACGGACGACTTGCAAAATGTGGTTGTGGAGGAAAAAATTTAACAATTACTTAACTTTAACGTACCTTTAATAAAGGTAAATAGAATTTGTGTAAACTGATTTTAGCTGTGAGAGCTACAAAGTCTGAAATTTTCTTCAAGACCAAGCGGCTAAAAATTAATCCGAATTGAATGAAATTTTCATTTCACAGATCTTAAAACGTACACAAATCATCAAACAGTACTGGTGGTGAAAAAGCTGTCATAAAACAGCTGATAATTTGTGTCATCGAGAGCCCTGATCTAAGGCTAACCGTTAGACTGGTCTCGCATATGAGACCTTTGGCAGAAAGTAGCTGTCAAAAATGTTTTTAAATTAAAAGCTATAAAAGTGCGCAAACCAAAAAATCAATGCGACGAATCCCAGCTGTGACCAGCTACCAAGCCCCCATTTGTCCCCCCGGTCACTGCCTCCATGGCCACGCCCCTCGTTCGGCCGGTACATGACCAGCATCAATAAGTTTCGGGGCGTTCAAACTTTGGGACAAACAGCTGCTGCTGCTGCTGCTGCTGCTGCTGCTTCTGTGGTTATGGCTACTGTGAAAATGAGCAAGAAATTTATTTACACACACACAGAGAGAGTGAAGCATACACAAAGAGAATTTTAAGTTTTGCAGCGAGGGGTAAGCGGAGTTGGCTTGAACTGAGGACCAGTCGATAATCAGTGAAAATGGACTGGGGGTGGTATGGGAAAGGCAACGAAACCAAAATCGACTCGAGCAGTGCAAATTTGAGGTTAATGCACAAATAAATCTGCCACAAATTGAAAGACATCAAAAACTGACTGCGCACGTAGTCCTTCACTTCCTCTGTTCTTTCCTGGGGGAAAAAGCTATTCTTCAAAAATCTATATATATATATATATATATATCTTGTGTATACATATATAGAGAGAGTGCAAAAAAACAATGATAATTATTAACGCTCAACTGCGTCTCAATCAACAACATTTTATCTCGCACACTCAGGCATGAGCCTCAGACTGCGTTTCTCACTAACTTTTTTGGGCAGCACGTTGTTTATTTTCTGCTTATATACCCTGTAGTTGTTGGAAATGAGTGGAAGGCTTGTACCAAAGCAGGCACAATATAGGTAACAGACTTAAACTGAGAAGTAAGCAGTAAATATGGAGCATCTTCTGCCATTGAGCTACTCCTTCAAAATATACCAAAATAGTATTTTACTTCGAATATGCCAAACTCTTGCCAACAACACAAAACTGTTATTAATTTGGGGTTGTGCTAGATATCTTGATTAATATCGAATCCATTTGGAAATATGCTTTATTTTTTAAAACTAACCCAACTTGGAGCTGTGATATTTGACCAGTCGAGCACTTTTTGGCCTAAGTCATTGCTCGCTTGCTTATGCATTTTTTGTTCGGCTCCGAGTCGAGCGAAAACTGCGACAGACAGGAAACCGCTAGCTGATATCGTGCGCCTGCTAACTTCCGATTTCCGTTGCGAGCGCCGTGATTGAGCGACGCTTTATTTCCTGTCAAAACGGCAACTCTCAAGATAGGCGCCAGCAGCAGGAGCAGCAACAGCAAGGCCTACTGCTGGCCTGGCCAGGCACAGCTCATGATAAACTTATTAGGTATATACTCTTTGCTGCCTCCTCCCTCCATCTCTTTCTCTCACTCTCTCTCTCTCTGTCTTTCTGCCTCACTTTGGGATTTTAGCCTGCTCATTTGAGAGGGGGCGGTGGGTGATTTTGAGCAGGCTTGTTAGCAAAGCGTGTCGACTGCCTATTTCGAGTCGGTTAAAGTTTTGGGTGTCGCACAGTCAGTCGTTTTGCAAGTGGGAAGTGAAAGGGAGGGAGGAAGGGCTTTTGAGGGGTGGTTGCCTGTCGGCATCAATGTCAGTGATTTATCACAAGGCACAGGCACATAAATAAACACCGGCCCTGACACTCGGCGGTCTTTGGTAAAACCCAGCCATCGGAGTCGGAGTCGAATTCGGATTTGCTGCTTCTCATTTTTTTTTTTGTTTTTTTTTTTTTTTTTTTTTTTTGACAGTGTGCGTTGCTTCGATTTGGTTTACGCATCAATGGATTTATCCCCTGGCCGGGTAGACGACAACACACTGCGTATCTAACAGCCAAGCCCACATCTGCCCCTCCTCCCCAGGGTTTCCTTTTCATTTGACGCTTTGTGCACTTGACTTTGGCGTTGCTGCTGCGATTTGCTGCCTCTAACGACCCTCATTGTTTGACACTTGGCGTTGATTTTTTTCGGGGAAATATGTAACAACCAAGCCAGCCAGCCAGTCAGCCAGCCAGCCACGAAGCAAGCTTCATCTTATCTTGCCGGGATAATAGCAGCGGAGTTCTGTTGCGGCTGCTGATTTTTGGCTGGCGACATTATTTTCACTTTATTGAAAACTTGTAGCCGAAATTGATTTTCTGCGTCTCCTGACATCGCATTCCACGGCCCAGGGATTTGACATTTCCTTCACTGTTACCCGCTCGTCTTCTCGTTCATCCTCTGCCCCAAAGCTGAGCGTTGCTCTGTGTTCGAAATACGCTTTGTCAATGGCATTTGCACTTTATCACAAAGTATGTGATCCGCCTATAAATTTATCAATCATTTGAATGGATCCTATAACTATATCATTCATGAAAACTTTCAGGTTTTTTCTTATAAACCTAGTCCTTTACATCATAACGCTTAAGCTCAATGCTATGCAGTAAAACACGATATATTCTTGAACCCAACTTTGCTTATGTTTAGATTAACGTTATGTCAAAGAGTATTTCAGCTTCGTTGGCCAGCACAAAGAGTGTTCTCGTCTTGAGTTTCCTTTTTGTTCGTTTTGTTTTCTACCAAATTTATTTCGCATTTAGTTGAATACTTTTTGGCATTTGGCTTGAAAATTTCGCATACATTTATTTTAAAGACTGTAATTTCATTTTATTCTCATGCTAATGTCCTGGGAGGGTTTCTTGTGTCTCGCCCACACTTTTATCTCTCTCTCTCTCTTCTCTCTCTCACTTTCTCTCTCTCTAGTGAGAGTGACTTGCAGTTGTAATGGGGAACCTTTTGGGGTCCCTGACTTTGGTTTTTCGGTATTATTAAGTATTCATTTGTGCACATTCCGCTCTTAATGTGCGTGCTTCGCAATGAAGTGCAAATGCAATTTTTCATTTAAAAATCAATTGAAGATGTGAGTTTTTTTTTGAGTCCTGTGTCATTTACAAATATTCAGGTTTTAACATTTTGACATATTATTGCCATGTTTTCAATTGATATCACCGAAAATAAACAAAGGCATCGAACACAAAAAATAAACTGTAATATTGCACAATTGAAAAGTTTAATATCAATAAATTAATATTCAATACAGGCATATGTATGTATGTATTTATTTGACTGTATGTGTATTTGCACAAGTTTGCTGTAAGAGCTGTCGCCATGCTTCTATTTTTCTTCTTTATTTTTGGTGTTTTGTGTTGTATTTTTTGCGGCACTGTTATCTCTTTTAGAATATTTTATATTGAAATTTCGTTATGCTGGACGCAGGGAGTTCTGGAACAATAAAAGCAATCAGTGCTTAAAAATCAAATTCAATTTGCGCATATTCAGCATATTCCGGACGCCGGACTTGTTCTTGTTGCTGCTGCTGTTGTTGTTATTGTTGTTGTTTGTTACGCTTTCGCTTTTGTTATTGCGGCAGCTCTCTTTTATTTTCATGCAATATTTTTAAAAATTTATAATAAAAATGTTGGAGAGATACTATGAATGCCAGCAAGGACAAAGCCGTAGTAAGCGAGAGGTGACACAGACAGACACACAGGGGGGATATATATATATATATATATATATATATATAGACTGAGAGTGAGAGAGGGAGAGAGAGCAAGGTTAACGTGGTGTGGAGCACTGGCAAATCATAAATATTCCTGAATCAACAGAATATGATGAAAATCCATAAATCATTGTGTGTGTCTGTGTGTGTGTGTGTGTGGTTGGGTTGCTGGGTACTTATTTTTTCGGGGCCGGCTGGCAAGTAGCGAAGGATTTCGCAAGGATTTGGAATGCAAATCAACTGTGTCAAAACTTTTCTACCAAGTGCGCAGCAGTTGCTGCTGTCAACGTCGACGTCGCAGTCGCCGCCGCTGTCGCTGTCGCAGCCGCTGTCGCCGTCACTCGGGCCGAGCAAACAAATAATGAAGACGAATGCAAACAGCAG